GTAGTGCTTTAGCACTTTAGCCACAGCTCTACTTTTTTCTTTTTTTTCTTTTTGTCCATTGTGGGGCTTGAATTCAGGGCCTGCGCGCTGTCCCTCAGCTCTTCAGCTCAAGGCTAGCGCTCTACCACTTGAGCCACAACGCCACTTCCAGTTTTCTGGTGGTTAATTGGAGATAAGAGTCTCACAGACTTTCCTGCTGGGGCTGGCTTTGAACTTTGGTCCTCAGATCTCACCTCCTGAGTAGCTAGGATTATAGGCGTGAGCCACTGGCGACCAGCTCTTTTCTTCCTTTTTTAACTCAGCTTTTTATTTGCTAATGTCTTTAAAACAAAGGCCCCAGCTACAGCGACTTGAGTGACAAGGCCATGGGGCTCCCTGTGAAGGAGGGGGGGGTCTCCCCACCATGAGCAGCTGAGCTCCAGCGCCTGCGCAGGACGGCCTGGTCATCTGTGTTTCCCCGTGCACCGGTCCCAGCTCCCCGGCTCCCACAACGATTCATTCGCCACCTCTATGGGGAAAGGCCCAAAAATTCTCAGGAAAAATAGTCTTAGAGTTTCTCTTGTTTATATAAAACCAAACACACTCTTACTAGACAATCCCGCAAATCATCTATTTTAGGGATTTACTCAAAAAAGGTGAAGAATTATGTCCAACCCCCCCCTCAAAAGGTAAATAAATGTGGCTTTATTCACAATCACCCCCCAATAGGAGCCCCCAGGAAGTCACCCAGTAGGTGAAAGGAAAAGGATGAAATGGTCAATACTAAAAGGAAGTGAGGTATCAAGACATGAAGACTGGAAGGACCCTTAAAGGCACATAGCTGAACCGCGTATGGTTGTGCATACCTGTAATCCCAGCATTTGGGAGGCAGAGGGAGGAGGATCATGAGTTCAACTTATCACTAAATGAAAAATGTTGACTGCGAACTGATTTCAGCCACTCAGGATTTCACAAAAAGGTATTTCCCAAATTGTGGGGCTTGAACTCTGGGCCTAGGCTCTGTCCCTGAACTCTTCAGCTTAAGGCTAGCGCTCTACTGATTGAGCCACAGCCCCATTTCCGGTTTTCTGGTGGTTAATTGGAGATAAGAGTCTCATGGACTTTCCTGCCTGGACTGGCTTTAAACCGTGATCCTCAAATCTCAGCCTCCTGAGTAGCTAGGATTATAGGTGCGAGCCACCAGCGCTGGGCTCTTGCTCAGCTTTCTTGTTCATAGCCAGTGCTCTACCACTTGGGCCACACCTCTAGGCCAGCTCTTTTGCTGGTTTATTGGAAGTAAAGTCTCACAGACTTTTCTGACAAGGCTGACTTCAAACCATGATCTTTCAGATCTCAGCCTCCTGAGTAGCAAGGATTACAAGGGTGAGCCACTGTGCCTGACTATCAATTTAGTTTAAGTGCAGGGAACCTGCTCTTTAAAAAAAAAAATCTATTTTAAGAAGGAAGTTTTACCTCTCTACTTTGATTTAAAAGAATCATTAAGATACCGTAATTCTTGCATGAGGGTTGTTGCAAAAATCAAATACCAAGTGTCTGGGAAGCATTGTGCGAAGGCCTTCAACTCTCACAACTGTTAATGCCTCATGCACAAATACCGACTTTACATAACCGGGCAGGCATGCGAGCTGTACACAAATGGGTTCTTGCACATAATTAGAAAGCTATTAGTTTGTTCTAAGCAACCATATATCCTAGGCTTAAATCTATCATCTTCAAAAGCCAGGTCCCGGCCTGCAAGTCTTCAGTTTGCCCATTCCCAGTGCCGTCTCTCCGAAAGCCCTTGCAGACCTGGCTCTTACCAGGTTTGAGCAAAGCCAGGTTTTCTCCTCAATCTAGTCCAGCCTTTCCAGCAGCCATTTACGAGAAGTCAGCGGCTTCTGGGCTACCTCTTCCTGAACACACGGCCCATAGCGCTTCCTTCTGGGGTGCTCAAGTGTCTTAGCCTGCACATCTTCCTAAACTACTGCCTTATAAACTGATTCCGAGATGCTGGCATCTGTAATCCTAGCTACTCAGGAGGCTGAGCAGTTCGAAGCCAACCCAGGAATGAAAGTCTGTAAGACTTTTATTTCCAGTTAACCACCAAAAAGCCTGAAGTGGAGCTGTGGTTCAAGTGGTAGAACATTAGATTTACACACACATACACACAAAAAAGCTAAGGAACAGCACCCAGGGCCTGAGGTTAAGCCCAAGAACTTGGCACAGATGCACAAAAATTGTTTCTGCTCACAAGCCCCACATCTAGCAATTTCTAGAGCAAACTTTCTAAGAACACAGTCTTCCTTTTTGCATAGTGGTAAAAATCTCACAGTGAGAGTTTTAAAAATACACGGTGTTTTTCTGAGCTGTATGTACATGGTCCTGGGTTGCAGTACTGTCCCTGAGACACACACATTACCCCTAAAGAAGTGACAGAACACCCTGCAAAAGGGAAGCTGATTCTCAAGGATGCAAATTGCACAGGTGCATGCATGTATACACGCATGCGCTCTCTCTCTCTCACACACACACAGACACACACACACACACAATAATAGGGGAAGCCACACAAAAATACCCTTAAGGGACTACTTGTGACAGCTTAGTGTGGCTTCTGTGATGATGGTTTTCAATCAAGACCTCAAGTTCTCTTCTCACCCCAGTCTCGCGTGGCTGCAATTCCTGAGGTAAACTCAGTGTGTGCTGCCAGTACCCTTGGATGTAAACCAAGTCCTCTGGGAGAATGCAGATATTTCTATTCCCACACATCCTATGCTGGAACTCATTACTGCAATCAGACATCACAGATTTAAACTGGAAATGTGTTCTGCTAAGAAGCCACCAACAGGGTCTCCCCAAATCTTTTGGCTGGTGAACTATGGATTGCTGATGTTGTGTGTTTAGATGCAAATCCTTGGTTAGCTGTGAGAGCTGAGCCCTGGCCCACATCACTAAATATAAAATCAGATGTTTTGGCAACTTGGTGCCTCAGCACCATGGGGCACCTGTTAGTCCCACAGCCTCCGCTCCCCACAGCTAGGCAACACTAGGCCCATGTGGTAAAGGCAGTAAAATACTCGGCCCCCACTGCCCTGGACCTTGCAGTGGCACTGCTTCGGGACAGCTACAACCATATAAGGCGACCCAATCCCTTAAAGTGACCTTCAAGCCTGGGCAGCTGCAGACCGCCTATCTGCCACTTGGGCAGCAGCCATGAACCCTAGCCCGCCGTGATGCAGCTCCTGGTCCACGCATCCACATCAAGGTCTCGGCCTCCTAGCCTTGTAGGTTTTATAGGTCACCTCAGACAATAGCCAGCATTTCTCACTTTGTGAGAAGGGATCTTGCCAGTCCCTTTCTGCGTGGTTTTCTGGCAGGGCCTAACACCACCAATGTCACTGATGACCCTCAGCTCCCCAGCCTGTGCAACCATCAGCTTGCAGTGCCAGGCAGCTTCATTCTGGAACCTTCTGTCACAAGGGTTGTTCTTGGCGACAGGGTCTGTTGGTTTTACACTGTGAAAACTTCCTTGAAGCCAGGTGTGACTCACACCCGGAATGCTACCTACTCAGGAGGCTGAGATGAGGATCACGGTTCGAAGCCAGCCTGGGCAGGAAAGTCTGTGAGACTTTTATCTCCACTAAACGACCAAAAATGCTGGAAGTGGAGCTGTGGGTCAAGTAGTAGTGCACTAGCTTTGAGCAAAAGCAGCTTCAGAATGGTGCCTATGCCTGACGCCCTGAGTTCAAGCCTCAGGACCACAGCACACAAAAAAATACTTGGATGGGGCTGGGAAGGTGGCTCAGCGGTAGAGCACTTGCCTTGCATGCCTGAGGCCTGGGTTCGATTCCTCAGCACCTCATAAGTAAAAAGAAAAAAGCTGGAAGTGGCGCTGTGGCTCAAGTGGTAGAGCGCTAGCCTTGAGCTGAAGAGCTGAGGGACAGCGCCCAGGCCGAGTTCAGGCTCCACGACCGGACCCCCCCCCCAAAAAAAAAATACTTGGAGCTGGGACTGTTATCTTTTTTTTTTTTTTTTGTCAGTTATGGGGCTTGAACTCTGGGCCTGGGCGCTGTCCCTCAGCTCTTCAGCTCAAGGCTAACACTCTACCACTAGAGCCACAGCGCCACTTCCGACTTTTTCTTCTAATGTGGTGCTGAGGTATCGAACCCAGGGCTTCATGCATTCAAGGCAAGCACTCTACCACTGAGCCACCTTCCCAGCCCAAGGGACTGTTATCTTCTGTCCCAAGCAAAACAATAGGTATTTAGTAAGTCTATCAGAGCCCTGCCGAGTGGGGCTGCCCCACAAGCCATGCGAGGAGAGGCCCACGGGGCTTCTCCACAGCCCCTCTTCAGGCTTAGACTGCATCCCCATGGAGCAAGGTCAGCTCTTTGTTCCGGACAGCACCACCACCAAAATTACTCCCCTCTACCTTGTCATGAAATCTTCCAGAAGCCAAAATGGCCTAAGAAAAAGAACATGGTTTAGAGGTTCAACACTGAAGTATAATTCAATGATTAAGTCTAGTTACGGTTATCTGAAGAGTGTGTTCAACTGAAAAAAATCCAACAAATGAGCTTTTCTGGATTTAATGTTCTTTTCCAAGTTTTTTTCTTGCAAAATATGAATTTTCTTTCTTTCTTTTTTTTTTGTCATTGCTGTTGTGTGTGCCAGTTCTGGACCTTGAACTCTGGGCCTGGGCTCTGTCCCTAAGCTGCTTCTGTCCAGGGCAAGGGCTCTACCACTTGAGACATGGTGTCACTTCTAGCTTTCTTGGTGGTTTATTGGAGATAAGAGTCTCACAAACTTTCCTGAACAGGCTGGCTTCAAATCATGATCCCCAGATCTCAGACTCCTGAATAGCTAGGATGACAGGCTTGAGCCAATGGCACCTGGCCTCTTTGCTTACAAATCCATGTAATTGTAGTAGAAGAACTTATGGAGAAAGACCTGTAGAATACGCTCCAAGAACAGTCAAAGTATTAAAATTCAAATTCATTTTCACATACTTTAAAACATCATATAAGAACAGTGAGGTTTTTGGTCACACCCAGTGAACTTTATTCACAAACGCAGGGAAACATGAGGGCTGTGGGAGGCAAACGCGGGCATGCGCAGTGGGGAGGAGAGGTGCCGTGCCCCGCGTTGCTCATGATCTCTTCTCTGCACTGGGGTCAGTGCCAGTCCCCGGCTCCCTTCTCAGGCGGTCATCTGCGAAGAGGAGAAAGGAGGTTAGCACTTACCAGGGACGAAGAGCAGGCAGTATGTGCGCCCTGCAGGCCTGGGGCAGGACGCGTATGCTGGGGAGCACTGGCTGAATTCTGCCGATGACTCAATTCCTCCACGCCTGAGGAAGGCAGATGGCTTCCTCCCTGGAAGTCACTGCAGCGATTCCAGTGCTCCTCCATGATTCCTGGAACTGCGAGCTGGACTCAGCTGTGTCTAAAGGGGACAGACCTCTCTCCTCTGAGGGAAGGATGGATGCTCAGTCGGCAGGTGAGTTGGGCAGAGCGCTCCTTTAAACCACAAACCTTCCCACGGCAGCACCCTCTTGTGGTTATAAAGAGATGGGCAGTCTACATCATCCTGCCAAAATGGTAAAACTTCAGGGGATTGTGGGAAATGTTCTGAAAAGCCCACAACCTGCCAATAAAGGTCCAGGCAGGGCCAGAGGAGGCAGAGGTGGGAGCTGTGAGCGGCCGGGGCAATGGTGACGCGTCCCGACGCCTTGGCTCCCACGGCAGAACTCCGCAGCTGCACAGTCACAAAAACAGAGGCACCCTACAGCGCCACAAAACCTAACACCAGAGACCAGAGACTGCACAGCAGCACAGCGGCAGGCTACACCGTGCAACGCTACCAGGCAGCCACACACTGGGGCTGGAGTGTGGCACAGGAGAGCGCCTGCAGAAAGCAAGGCCGAGTCCCAACCCCAGCACTGCCCAAGTACACAGCACACCTAGGATCAAGTACCAAGTGATACCTGGCAGGGTGCTGGGGGGAGGGTGCGGGGTGCTTGACGGGAGAGGAGGGGTGAAGGGAAGGGAGAAAAGGGGCTGGGGGAGGATGGCCTGGGGAGACGGGGGGGGGGGACTCAGAGGATGAGACACAGGAACAGCCACTGAGGAGCTGCTTCTGCTGACTCCTATCTGCCAGGCCCGCAATGCGTCACACCCTCTTAGTCCCGGCTGTGACTCAGCAGGTAGGAAGGAGCGCAGCACCCGAGCTCCAGCGGGCTTGGAGTTCTAAGATACAGGCAGAAGTCCCAGGGAAGCTGCAACTAGTGTCCATGGGCGCTCATAGCAGTTTAGAGATCGACACCACTACCCTGCGGGCATTTCAGTAGTCCAGCGTGACGCTGGAGCGACACGGTAGTGGTAAGCGGCTAGTAACTCCACACCAGAGGACAGACTGAGCTACAACCAGCCAGCCCGATCATCACCCGAGGCGCTGCAAACGGTGAGCGGTGAGCGCTTGGAGCGGCTGCTGTGCAGGCACCTGCTGAGCCCGGAAAACAGCCATGGTTCTCTGCCTCGCCTCAGCAATCCCACCTGCTGCTGTTGTCTTGGGGAGGAAACACTGGTCACACGATTAGAACTACCTGTGCAGCATGCTTAGGATCTGCGCCATTCCCAGGATGGCACGTGGTATGTGGAAATCAGGTCCTCAATCATCCAGAATACAGATAATATCAAAGAATTCCCCCCACCCTCTGAGATGTTCTGTCCAAAAAAGCATTTTGTTTTCTCAAGACTAAGTCTGCTGGGCTGACTACACTAGATGTAAGCAGACTAAAACTCTGACCTAAAAGCTCAGGAGAAACTGTGAGGACAAAGCGGAGGTTGAGGGCAGAAGCGCAGGGAACTCATACCCGGCTGCCTTCTTCCACTGGACTGCCTGCCAACAGGTGGCCTGGGAGGCTGCCGCGAGGGCTCGCTCACAAATGCATGGTGGGCGCCATCCTTAGGGCCATGCAAGAAATGACCTAAAATTCCATACAGAAGAGGTCTACAGCAGGGAGAAAACAAAAAAGCCGTTAGCTTCACATGAACAGCATTTCCTTTGAGAGGCAAGCCTGCCAGGCGTGAGGTGCATGCTAGTAATCCCAGAAGAGGTGAAGGCAGGGGTTGAGGTCAAGTCTCATGCTGGCCCAGACAAATGAAGAACAAAAAGCCTAGGAGTGCGGCTCCAGTGATAAAGACAGTCCTTGTCCAGCAAGCACAAAGGTCTGAACTGAATCCCCAGCGACCGCCACCCTCCAACCCCGCCAAAAAAATCAAATCAATCACTAACATTCGGTAAGCTATGACACTTAATAGCCACGTCGTTCACTAGACCTAAAGAGTCAAGATTATCCAAATATGGATAAAATGGATTTTAAAACCCAGACAAAAGACATTAACAAGTGAAATAAAGTTTCAGTCAATTCATAGGAATTCAGCTTGTAAACCCCAAGCTGATGCAGGCGTTCACCTCGCACTGCCGCACGAGCCCGGCGGCCTGCGCTCAAGCCCTGCCTTGCATTTGCCAGCTGTGGGATCCGAGCAAGAGCCTCATAAACCTCCCTGCTCTATAAATGGGGAGAAGCGCGATCCGTGTCGCAAGGTGGTTATGCAGGAATGAGTTCATAAACGCCAAGTGGTCAGTGCTGTGCCTGGCATATCTTAAATGGCAGATAAACTTTACCTATATAAGATTGGGGAATAATCTTTTAAAAGCTACTTTAGGCCAGGTGCAGTGGCTCGAACCCGCAACTCCTTGGTGCTCAGGAGGCAAAAATCAGAAAGATGGCAGGTTGCAGCCAGCCTGGGCAAACAGTTTAAGAGACCCCATCTCAACCAATAAAAATCTGGGCATGATGTTTTACAGTGGTCATCCCTGCTACTCTGAAATATAAAGAAGACCGAGCTTCAGGCTGGCCTGGAACTTTTGGTCCTCCTGTCTCAGCCTCTCCAGGCTAGGATTACAGGTATGCACCATCATGTTTAGTTTTCACAGGCTCATTTAAGATTGCTGTCTAGTATGAGAACAAACGAACAGAAACTCCACATGTAACCTGGTTAGATGGGAAGCAAATGTTGAATCTCACAGAGGCACAGAAACTCGAAGGGTTAAGATTTTTAAAAAGCCATAAAGGACAGAGGCTTCTTCATCAACTTTGTATGTGACCCTGAGCAAGATAAGGGCGCTCCCACCAAAGCTGGGCGGAGAATATAACTACAAGGTTCCTCGAAGCATGAGGAAGACGGAGGAGGGGCAGATCCAATGACAGGGATAGAAGGATTGGATCCGAAGCTCCTGGCTACAAAATAAGGACTTGTCACATATGAAATGGGAAGTGACTTCATGTTTTCAAAAAAAACCCAAAATACCATAAGCCAGGGGCCAGCAGCTCATGCCTGTCACCCTAGCTACTCAGGAGGCTGAGATTTGAGGATCACAGTTCAAAGCCAGCCTGGGAAGGAACATCTGTAAGACTCAGAAAAAGCCAGAGGTGGCGCTATGGCTCAAGTGGTAGCATGCTAGCCTTGAGCACAAAGAGGCTCAAGGACAGTGCCTAGGCCCCCCCGAGTGTAATCCCCAGGACCACAGAGGACAGGGGAAGAGGTAAGGGAGAAGACAGGGACTGGACACAAAGGAATGGTCAGCAGGCGTGTGAACATGCAGCGGGCGCAGAGCTGAGTGGGACTTGTAAAGGGACTGGCTGAGAACAGAGAGCAGTGGAGACTGCTCAGGCCTGGCCGGTTACAACAGCCATGGGAAGGTGTGAGGAGACAAACGCTACCGTGCACTCCAGACGCAGCTGGCAGACATGACGCTTCCACACCAGAAGAGGTCAGGCTTAAAGCAGCTACTCACGTGCTGACTAAAGACTCGAGGACTCAGAGCAGGAGGGAGGAGGACAAGGAGGAAAATGAGGACAGAATGGGGCATGCCCTTGGCTTACAGGCTTCTGAGGGCATCCGGAGACAGGGCCATGAGGAGCCCCAAGGATGCTTTGAAATCAGCTAGAGAGACCACTCTGGGTGTGGGTGCTGGAGGTGGCACAGTGCACCAGGCAGGGTGGCAGGTTATCCCAGAAGAGAACCTGTACAGAGTGCCTACCAGGGAAAACACTCTGCTGCACAACACACACAGTGGAAGAATAGAGCATCCAATGAAATCAAATTCTTCAAGAAGCCTCTAGCGAGTGAGGCTGCTCTGATGGCTGTCCTCAGGCCTTCAAGGGACTTCAGGGGAAATAGTGACGAATCTCAGACACAGAAAGGGCAAAAAGGCAAGACAGACTCCTAAGGTGACATGGAGGAAGCAGTGAGGGGAAGAGTTAAGTAAGAAGAAAACAAGTGAAAGGGCAAGACCTTAAAGAACAGGATTAAGAAGCCAAGAGGAAGCCAAGTGCCAATGGCTCCTATCTGTAATCACAGCTACTCAGGACTGAGATCTGAGGATCACGGAAGTCAGAATAGGGAGGAAAGTCTGGGAGATTCTCTACAAGTCAGCACCAAAAAGCTGAAAGTGGTAGAGCACTAGCCTTGAGAAAAATGTTAGGGAACAGCACCCAGACCCCAAGTTCAAGCCTCAGCAGGGGCACAAAAGAGGAAGAAAAAGAATGAGACAGAGGGAAAGAGAGAGACGGAGGGAGGGAGGGAGAGATAGGGGAAGAGAGAGGGAAAGAGAGGGACAGAGGGAAAGGAGAGGAGATAGATAGGGGACAGAGGAAAGAGGGGAGGAAAGGAGGGGGAGAGGAGGGAGATGGGGGAAGAGATGGAGGGAGGGTGGGAGGGATAGAGAAAGAGAGAAGGAAAGCGAGGGACAGAAAGGGACAGAGGGAAGGAGGAAGAGAGGGAGAGAGTAAGAAAAGGAGAGATGGAGAGATGGAGAGAGAGAGGGAGAGAGGGAGAGTGCATGCACAAGAGGAGTTTCCCTTAGAAAGAGCTAGAGGGCTGGGAGGACAGCCCAGTGGTGGAGCAGCTGCATAGCATACTGGAGGCCGGGGTCCACACGCCTCCTCCTGCCCCGCAACACATGGATGGAAGTCTCAAGTCAGAGGACCCTGGATTGCAGTGAATAGAACTGGTGTGACTTACTGCTGCTCACCTGGGATGGGGCACAAGGCTTGACACACACGAGAGCTTAAATATCCGCTTGATGGACAAGAAAGAAAACTGCCACCGTGCCACTGTGGCTCCAATACACAACATCTGCAAACCTGCATTTATCCCAACTTCTTACATTGTGTTATCCTTTGATTCTTCAAAGGCATTTAGTTCGCGGATGAGAAATTGTCTGTCCAATGGAACTACAGGTTGACCAGATTCTGGGAGGGAAAAAAAATCATAAAAATACTGAGTCTGTTCATGTAGAAAGCAAATACGATTCTGCTCAGAACCTTTCTTCCAGGCACACATATTTTTCAGACTTTGGAATGACGACAGATCCCCTGCATGCAGTTTTATGACATCAGATTTTGTTAAATGCATAAACTCATATAACCCAATGTATATTGTCTCTCTAAGTCCTCAATTGTTATTTGTTTGCCTGTTTGGGTATGGTACTAGAGCTTGAACTCAAGACCTTCTCAAGACCTTCACTTGGTTTTATCACTCAAGTCTGGTGCTCTATCACTTGAGCCACAGCTCCACTTCTAACTTTTTGATGGTTAACTGGAGATACGAGTGTTTCACGGAGTTTCCAACCTGGGCTGGCTTCTAACCTCAAGCCACCCTGAGCAGACAAATCTGTGAGACTTCCTCTCCGATGAACCAGCAAAAACCGGAAAAGGAGGTGTGGGCTCAAGTGATAACAGCACCAAGTATGAGTGAGAGTGTGAGGCCCTGAGTTCAAGTCACTGTACCAGCACACAATTCCCCGCCCCTTTCCCCCCCCAACCAAAAAACCCACCAACCAACTAAGCCCACTAACAGGCACTCACATAGCCTTTCCCTGTGACGATGCCTTTCACGGGTGTGAAATCCAACACGGCCGAATCACAAGTATGCAGTTAAGGAGAAGAGTCAGGGGCTATTTGGTGCATGGTTCCATTTCCATGACACCCTGGCAAAGGCAAATGTGGCAACTCTAGGCCAGGGGCCACAGGAGCCAGGACTGGGGAAGAGGCTGATCACAAGGGCATTAGAGAGAGAGCTTTGTGAGGGCACAGAATGTCAGATGGCTCAACTGTGACTGGTAGTTACACAGCTGAACATGTTCGACCAAATCCACACAACTATCCTAAGAAAAGGTCCATTTTGTTGTGTGCAAATTGTTCCTCACTCTTTTTAAAAAGCCAAAACACTTTCCAGGCACTGGGGGCTCACCTCTGTAATCCTAGCTACTTGAGAGGCTGACATACAAAATAGGATCCTGATTTGAAGCCAGACCAGGCAGACAAATCTGTGAGACTTATTTCCAATTACCCAACAAAAAGCAAAAAAAGCTGGAAGTGGAGGTGTGGCTCAAGTGGTAGAGTGCTAGCAACAGTGAGTGAAGAAGTAAGCGCGTGAGACCCTTAGTTCAAGCCACAGTACCAGCACACACACACACACAAAGTCAAACATTATTGTGCAACTCAATTATTACTGCTGTGTTTCACTGAAAAAGCCCACAGCACACAGCTAATGGCACCCTCAGCTTCCTGTCCTGTGCGACTGTGGAATCATAAAGCTGCCTAGACCCTGCTGAGGAAAGCAGAGTCTGACATTCAAGTCCTTACACCACAAAAACACAGCGCTGGAAAGTGAAGATCTAAAGGCAAAGTTCGTTTCTCCCACTGCATAAGCTTTCAAACGTGCTGAAGCTATGGAAAGAGCCCATGGCACTCTCCTGTTCCACGTGCCAAGGTGACAGCAAATCTCATGAAATGAGATTCCTGCTAACGGGCTCTGAGAGTCTGTCCCGGGTAACAAAGGAGTGTCACTCACCTGCCATGAGCACGGATTCTGTGTACTTATACTTGTTGAAATCCAGGTACTCCCGAATGAGTTCATTAATGAGGAGGTTCTCATGTGACAAGGGCGGCCGGGGTTCTTGGTCATCATCCAGAGCGTGGAAAACCTCAGCTCGGATCCTCGCCTTTAAGTATCCTAGCACCCCTCGCTTTTCCAAGGTGTCCTTCAACACTGTGAAACATAAAATGTTAATGCTTTGTTAGAGAATACATTTTGTCTGCCTTGGGCATACTCTAAAGATGCTTACAAGGGATGTGGCACAAATGGAGCTCTATCTAAACACTGTCACCTTAACTATCACAAACCACGCTGGTAAAAAAAGAAAAAAATTAAGTTCCCAATTTACAACAATGTACCCCCAATCTATTTGAGCATCTTTACTCTCAGGGGCTGCAGTCTGGTACATATTCTTCCATGAGTCAAAGCAGGAGAATGGAATTACTGTTAGCTTGCTGGGGCCAGAGCTTGCTCCCAATGCTCCTAAACATTTCCCGAAGGGCTTATCACTGCAGAAGACTTCTGCCATCCCCACTGACCTCTGGTCCACAGAGATGACTGAAGCAAACAACTACATTCCATAAAAGAAAGGAATGTCATGTTATCAAAAGCTCCAATCGCTACTCCTGAGGAATGGTCCATTCTGACAGATATGTTAGCTGTTTTGCTTTAAGACAATTGTGAGTTAACCCTTTACGACAGCAGAGTTTTTGTTGTTGTTGTTTATCAGTGGTGGGGCTTGAACTCTGGGCCTGGGCGCTGTCCCTCAGCTCTTCAGCTCAAGGTGAGCACTCTACTGCTTGAGCCACAGCGCCACTTCCAGTTTTCTGAATGGTTTATTGGAGATAAGAGTCTCACAGACTTTCTTGCCCAGACTGGCTTCAAACGAAGATTCTCAGATCTCAGCCTCCTGAGTAGCTAGGATTACAGATGTCAGTGCGCGGCAACATCAACATTTTTAAGCTTTAATAAATAACAAGTGATTCGTGAGTTTTTATCTTAATAGCACCCCCTATTTTGAAAGCATCCCCTCAACCTTTTTGCAGGTAGCGTTAAACACAGCCACGAGGCAGTCTTTGTAACAGGCCCATAAAAGGAAAGCAGAGCCTTATCATAGTTCTTGGACCATAACTGAACCCCCTGTTCTCTAACTCCATCTTTGGAAGTTAAGATGGAAAGATATCCTCCTCCCACCCGGCCCCCCTACACACACTGGCAAGAATCCCTTCCAAGCACTCAGCAGTGCAGGACATGGCCTCAAACCTGGCAGAGGAGTAAGGAGACTGCAAGGAGCAAACCCACATTTCCTTCACTATCTTGGGGAGGGGGGGAAAGGGTGTTAACAACCTATGCCTCAGTCGCCTTCCCCAAAATGACTTCTACGGCTCAGAGAGAGCCAGAGGAATGGAAAGCCAGAGGAATGGAAGAGATGCTATCAAAAGGTAAAACGCTCATAAACCCAACATCACGGGTCAGGAAGTAAGTTTGTTTTTTTTTTTTTAAATTGATTTTGGACTCAAAGGTCTTCTTTGAGAACTCCGCTGTACAGTCATCACACAGTTACCTGCACAGGGCACCCTAACCGCCAGGCCCTGCAGCCCCTGGGGCTCAGAGTCGTTCTTACCCCTCCCTGCTGTGATGCTGAGTGCACAGAGACCGTCCTCAGCAAACAGGTCTTAGGCTGGTGTGGTTCATACCTGCGACCCTAGCTGCTCAGGAGGGGGGGGGGGACGGTGGTGAGGGGTTGGTGGTGAGGATCAGGGTTCGAGGCTAATCTGGGCAGGTGAGACTCATCTACAATTAACTACCAAATACAACAACAACAACAAAAGCCAGAAGTGGAGCTGTGGCTCAAGTGGTAGAGCACCAGCCTGGGGTGGGGGGGGGAGCGCAGGGACAAGGCCCAGGTCGTGGGTTCAAGCCCCAGGACCGGCGCAAACGGAAAGGGAAAAAAGACGTGAAGGGAAAAGGAAAAGGAAGGGGAAGGGGAAGGGAAAGGAGGGGAAAGGGAAAGGGAAAAGGAAGGGGAAGGGAAGGGAAGGGGAAGGGGGGAAAGGCCCCGCTGCCCCCGGCCCGCCCCTCCCGGCGCCGCCTCGGCCGCCCAGCGTCCGGACGCGGCCCTGCCTCGACCCCTGCGCCCCTCGGCCCCGCGAGCTCCTCCGTCCCGGCCTCACGGGTGGAAGCTCCCGCTCGCCCCGCTCGTCCCGCCGCCCAGCCGTCCGTTACCACTCACCGGTCTTCAGCTCAGTAACAGTCGCCATCTTTCAACCGCCGCCAAGGACGCGCTTCGCCTGTGCGCACGCGCGGTGTCCACCCCCCGCCCGGCCGCGGCGTGACCTGCAGCCAATAGGCGCACAGATGCCCGCACGTGGGAACCCGCCTCTCTCGGTTTATGCTGTCCTGTCCGCGATTGGGTGAATGGCGAATGTCCGTGTGAGATGTTCACCAATCAGCGAGCTTGGTGGGCGGGCTTTACTGGGGGAGGCGGAGCCAGGAGAGAGAATCTTCCCAGCCTTTACCTGTGGGTGCTGCTGGCTGCTTGCTTAGCTTTTACCTGCGGGGCCTCTGGGCCTCCGCGGGGCGCTCACCTGCGCAGGTGCACACCTTCGCAGCCCCCAGGACCCACGCAAGCCCAGCCGGCAGCGGCATCTCGGGAAGACCTGGTAGAAGATGACCACCGAGGATCTGCATTTCTTTCTTTCTTGACTTGTTATTATAAAGGTCATGTTCAGAGGTGTTACAGTTACCTAAGTCAGGTAAATAGGTAAAGAATACTTCTTTTTCTCTTTTGCCAGGCCTGGGCCTTGAACTCTGAGCCTGGGCGCTGTCCCTAAGCTCCTTTTGCTCAAGGCTGGTGCTCCATCACTTGGGCCACAGTACCACATCTGGCTTTTTTTTTCTGTTGATTGATTGGCGATGTGAGTCTTACCGTCTTTCCTGCCCCAGCTGGCTTAGAGCTGCCATCCACAGGTCTCAGTCTCCTGAGTGGCTAGGATTACAGGTGTGAGCCACCAGCACCTGTCTAAAGAATATACATTTCTTTTGGAGCAACATCATCCTTTCCCTTGAGACCTGCATTTCTATTAAGTTCCCAGGTACCAGCTGGCCACCAGTGGCTCACAACTGTAATCCTAGCTACTCAGGGGACTGAGATCTGAGGATCATGGTTCAAATCCAGCCCAGGCAGAAAAGTATGTGAGACTCCAATTAACCAGCAAAAAGGCCAAAGTGGAGCTGTGGCTCAAGTGGTAAAAGGCCAAATTTGAGTGAAAAGCTCAGAGACAGCTGAGTTTAAGCCTCAGGAGAGGCAAACACACACACACAGGCCCTGCATTCAAGCTTCATGGGGTGGTCCATGTCTGCCATACCAGCTGCTCTAAGGGGTTGTGGCAGGAGCATCACTTAAGCCCGGAAGTTTAGCTCTTGAAAGAAAAACAAATGAACAGGTAAAAACGTGCACTGCAATAGAATAACCCACTATGGTTCAGGGTGTGGCAAGACAGGGACGCCAGAGCTAATTGGTGGGTGGGCCAACTGGTACCATTACCCTGAGGCAGCTGGGCAAAATCAGAATCAACCTTGCATACCCTTTAGCCCATTGATAGTCTAGTTGTAAAATATATCTCAAGCCAGACTGGCACGGGTAATCCTGGTTTCTCAAGAGGCTGAGATCTGGAGGATCAAGGTTTGAAACCAGCTAGTGCAGAAAAAGTACACAAGACTCCATGTTCAATTAACCAGCAAAAAAGCCAGGCTGGAAACCTGACTTAAGTGGTAGAATACCAGGCATGAGCAAGCAAGTCAAACAGGGTTGGAAGATTCTGAGTTTAGGCCTTATCTCCAGCATAAAAACAAAATATGTATGTTTTATGCCTAATAATAAATCATATATATGGTATTTATTGGAGTACTCTTTATAGTAGACCAAAACTATGCACAATGCCCAGAAAGCAAACAGTTGTCAATACTAAGTGCTGGCCAGCCAGCTGGTAGGAAAACAAAGTCACTTTGAGAAGCCGTTTGGAACTTGTATTCACATATTGATGACCTAGTAAATTCAATCCCAGAGAACTAAAACCTTAAGTCCACACAAAAGCCGGTCCAATAACAGCAGATTTCTTCATAATCACCCTAAACTGGAACCAACAAAATGTCTCATGACATTGTGAGCCTAACAGGCTCACAAATCACGGAGCATGTATACTTGTGCCAAAAAATCCATAACACTGTCTACTTAAAAACAAAGCACACACACAAAGGTGTGGTACTTCCTGAAGCGTGGGCTGAGATTACAGGGGTGTACCCTGAAGCTTGGCTTCCTCCTCCCCTCAAAGGGCCGGCAAGACCCTGAACACTGCAGTGTGCTCTCTCTCTCTCTCTCTCTCTGTCCCTCTCTCTTCCTAGGAAAGATAGATGGATCTCACCCTGAGGAGCAGTGATGGGTGAGGCCGCCTCCCACCCCTACCTGCCCCCCCCTTGCTCAGGTGTACAGAGCTGACTCAACCCTTAGTCATGATGCCGCAGAACCTGCCCTGCACCTGGAAGCTGCTGCCAGCACCAGGCACCAGGCTGGGCTGCACCCCTGGGGTAGGATGGCTTTATTTCACCTTTAGTCCCCTAGCCCTGAATATATGCTCCAGTACTGCACAGAGCCACAGCCAGACAGAGAGAAAGGAAAAAACAATAACTTATTAGGCTATCCATGGTGTGTGTTTGTTTTTTCTGTGAGGAACATCCAGTGCAAATCAAGGAATTCTTGTTCTTTTCCTTGTCATGAAGCTTCAGACAAAGGAACTGCACAGCACAGCTTGAATAGACTCCACAGTTGGCAGCGTCCACGCACTTTGTGTTGTGGTGTCTGTGCCTGGGACTGCATCTCTCACGTCTCTGCATTGAAATCCCAGTGGTCTTTCTCGATCTGGTCCCATCGCTACCATGCCTGGGCCCTGTGAAACCCCTCCCCATCCCCAATGGCTGGATCCTTATTGGTTGACCTGAGCCAATCATGGCAGAGACAAGTGAGGGACAGATGGAGGTGACCCACAGAGTCAGATTCAGTAACATACATTCACAGGTCTAGGTCTATTTCATTGGCCAAGTACTGCTAATTTTTCTCTTTTTTAAAAAATAAGTTTTTATTTTGAAAATACTGTACAGAGGGGTTACAATCACATGAGTAAAGTAATGACTTCATTTCTTATCACGCATTGTTGCCTCCTCCTTTGTTTTTTCCCTACCATCCCTTCCCTCCCATCTCCTCCCCCCCCCCCCACCGCCTAAATTGTAAAGTTCATTTTTTGACATAGGTCTTGTAAATCTCATTGTTGCAATGGGTCAACCTGTATCCCTATTTAAACAATTTGTTGCTGGTTTTTCTTGATAGCCATGAGCCACTCAGTGAAGGGATTCTTTGATTCCAATCTTACTTGCTAATACTCTAGTCACAGATTGCATTTCCCAACAATATATAAATTGCAGAACTGTTCAGAGCGTGTTAAGTGGCTGGATATAGGGTTCTTGCAGAAGGGAAGAGCAGAGGGGCTGATAGAGATGGAAAAAAAGCCACCGCAGAAATCACTAACTTGTAGGCCGGGCGCCGGTGGCTCACACCTGTAATCCTAGCTACTCAGGAGGCTGAGATCTGAGGATCACGGTTCAAAGCCAGCCCAGGCAAGGAAAGTCCGTAAGACTCTTATCTCCAGGGGCTGGGAAGGTGGCTCAGTGGTAGAGCGCTTGCCTTGCATGCCTGAGGCCCTGGGTTTGATTCCTTAGCACCACATAAGCAAAAAGAAAAAAAGCTGGAAGTGACGCTGTGGCTCAAATGGTAGAGTGCTAGCCTTGAGCTGAAGAGCTGAGGGACAGCGCCCAGGCCCAGAGTTCAGGCCCCACGACCAACGGAAAAAAAAAAATCACTAACTTGCATTTCTTACATGTGTGTGCGTCTCTCTCTTTTTTGTTCTCTTCCCCCCATTAAACTCTTTTGCTTTGCAAATGAGAGAGAGACAGAGACAAGAGACAGAGACAGAGAGATGGATACCAGGGCCCAGTGGTTTATGCTCAAGTCCCAGGACTAGCATGTGTGCGCTTGTGCCTGTACACACACACACACTCACACACACACACACACACAGGCGTCTGCCTCCTTAGGTCCCCTTCCTTCAGAGAGTCTGGTTACTTTTCTTTCACGGGTTATCCTTTCCCTTTCAAATAAACTTACTCTGTTTACCTTTAAAAGAAAGAAGAAAGGAAGGATGAAAGTCACTGCCGGAGGTTAGATAAGATACTGAACTGTGGTGGAAGAATCAAATGCGCCATTTTTCCTAGGCACAATGCTGGTTTTGCCAAGTGCTTCCCACCTTACCTGGTCAACTGACTGCTCTGAATGGGTGCACCTGTGCGCACACACACACACACACACACACACACACACACACACCTCTTTTTTGGTGCCCATTCTGGGACTTGAACTCAAAGCCTAGTTGCCTTCCCTGAGCTTTTTTAGCACTCTACCTTACAAGCTCCATTTTGGGCGTTTTTGGTAGTTCATTGGGGAAAAGAATCTTCAAGCTGGGTACAAGTGGCTCACGCCTGCCATCCTAGCTACTCACGAGGCTAAGATCTGAAGATCACAGTTTAAAGCTAGCCTGGGTGGAAAAGACCCTGAGAGACTCTGATTTCCAATTAACCAGTCAAAAAACCAGACATGGAGTTGTGGCTCAAAGTGGTAGAGCGCTAAATGCTCAGGGACAGCACCCAGGACCTGAATTCAAGCCCTACAACCAACACACACACACACACACACACACACACACACACACACACGAGTCTCATGGACGTTCCTGCCCTGGGCTAGCTTTGAACCATGATCCTCATATTTCAGTCTCCTGAGTAGCTAGGATTATAGGTGTGAGCCGCCCATGGCCAGCATCTTTATCAGGCCTTGGGTGATCTATGGGAGACCATGTTGGGGTCTTGGGGTTGATTCTGCATGGGGTGAATCTTGTGTGTGAATCTGTGGGCTGTCCAGTGGGCCCCCATCTCTTGTCCGAGCAACCAGGAACCCCATTGCTTGCTTCCAACCTGTATTTTCCCTCTGCACTCAAAGTGTAGTAAGCTGTTGTCTCAAGAAGTCAGGGTCATCCAGGGCAAGGCCCAGCCTCAAACTAACTGCTCCATCCAACATGGCGTCAGACTGGAGCAGGGCATGGCCTGATTCCATGCTCATCTCTCTTGGAGCATTCATTTCTGGCTTGGTGTCCCAGTTTAGTTGTCTGTTCTCTCCCAGAAGAGTCTGAGTTGGAGCAGGCCCAGT